ACTGAGGGCCCTTGCTGGGAGAGCTGCAAGGCAAGCTGGCGTCAGATATGCTGCCTTTGCTCCTGGAATTCAAATCATGACTGCCAATCAGATGCCTACATTACATTACATTACAATTCAACCCTCTTGTACAATGATATCTTCCTGCCAAGTATACATTGTCTTTTAATTTATAAGCACTTGTCTTCCTGAAGCCCCTGTCTACTTTTTGATTGGAAAATATTCAAGGATGTTGAAATTGCAAGCTTTGGTAAGACGACAATACTTTTTGTTAAGCAATTCTATCAAGCTGTCAAGTTTAAAGTTTCAAACATTATAATAGTCTTTTTTTTCTATCAAAAAGGGTAGACTTTTGCAAAAAAAAACCCTCAAAATTCTAGTGAACGATGCTTTTCTTGTCCATCCTCTTCCTTCAGCTACTTTAACACTGAATTGACTTTTTTCCTGGTTGTCATTTTAATCAAATTTGGTCTTGATACTACATTAGTTATGTAACCATTTAGATTTTCCTCTCAAATCCAAAATACATTTTATTTAATAAATCTTAGTTAACTACCTCATTTTACTGTCAGTAGTTTTTCTTAGAACTGAGCTGTGTGCCCCTGGTCTATATAGCTATATGTCTATAGTATAAACACAGGGCTTCCCCGGTGGCTCTGATGGTAAAAAAATCAGCCTGCTATGCATGAAACCAAGGTTTGATACCTGGGTTAGGAAGATGCCCTGGAGAAGAGAATGGCTACCCATTCCAGTATTGTTGCCTGAAGAATTCCATGGACAGAGGAGCCTGGTGGGCTACATTCCATGGGGTCACAAAAAGCCAGACATGACTGAGCGACTAAAACTTTCATGGCATATATCCACCCATCGAGCCACTTACTCACCCATATGAAAACTCATCTGAACTATGGAGAACTGGCACCACATGGGAATCTACCACAATTTTGATATTTTTGAAGCATAGGTATAATCACCAGAGATATAAAGGACTTTTTACATCAAGGTTTAAAAAACACTTTTTAAAAGAGATTTATTATAGTTTTCAGCTAAACTGAATTGTTTAAAGCAGAATTTACATCTGCCATTGTACTTTTTAACACTGAGAGATTTCACTTTAAGATTGCTTATGTGTCACTTTCTCAGTTAAGCTTTTCTTGGTTGCCACCAGCTAATTTCCACTCTCCTTGCATACCACTCTTTTCTTTGTAGGATTTTGTAAATATACTTACATAATTATTGGTGAAATTCTTTATTGAACATCTATTACACTACTAGATTATAAACCCCACTAGAGAAAAGACCATGTCTGTCTTGTTTATCTTATATTCCTAGTACCAGGCATGGTAGTTGGAACATAGTTAGTTCTCAATAAAGGTTTGTTGCATGTGGATGAGGTTGAAGTCATCTTCATGTGGTGGAAAATTGTTTTAAAAAAGAAGAAAAAGAATGAGGAGGAGAAAGAGGGAGAGAAGACGTTGCTATATGCCATTACTGCATTTTTCTTCCGTTGAGTGTACCTGGATAATTGTGAAATCGCTTTTCCCTTAGAGCTATATCTTCACAGGAGAAAAACAATTCAAAGGTGCTAAGTGCTCTGCACATGTTTAACTCCAACTGAGAAAGTATATCAGCACTGGTTACAGAAGTAATTTAAAGAGAGATAAAGCTCCGAGGGCCAATACTGATAGGATACTTTTGGGCACTATCTTGCTATTAGTTCCCATAAAGAAAATGTTTTGATCAATGCACATATTGGCTGTGTACCATGCATAAGACATGCTATTTGACTTCATAATGTATATCAAAAGCCTCTGATTCAAACTAATTATAATATGATTGGGAATTTACAGGAATGCATGGAAAAGCTAACAAGAAACAAAAGTAAATGCTAAATATAAGGGCAAATGATTGGTACTGCAGGTGTTAAGAGAAGACCAACCAGCACAAAGACTGGAGGGGTCTAGTCCATTTCGATGGGAAGAGAAGAGCAAGACAAGTATTCTAGATAGATGTGGAATGAAGTGGGTGGGGAAAAATGTGAACAGGAAAGCCGAAAGTTGTTCAGGACAGTGAGCAGAATAATTTGGATAAAGTAAAGGGTTCACACAGAGGGAAGCAGAGAGATTGGTCACAAAGGTAGACTGACCCATAAAGTAAAATCATAACTATGAAGCTGAAGAGGAGGAGTATATTGCCAGCTACAGGGAAATCCCACACAGTCACGTGGCATTGTTAGAGCAACATAAAATATTCAGTGATGATAACATCTTAATAGTGCACAACATTCTGTTTCAAAGCAATTTCATCTATTATTCACAAAAGAATTTTTTTTCTCCTTTTACAGAGATGTCACCATTTGTCAATAAATGTAGATGAGTTCGTTGTTTGATGGCAAAGCTGTGATTCAGAGCTACATCTTTGGCCCTGGCATCCTGGAGGAGTAAGCAGGGCTTGTCAGAATGAGGAAACCGAAGAAGGAAGATAGGTGAGCTGTTCGCCTGTGTTAGTGCAGACTGGAAAAGATAAGAGTGGAATGGACTGAAGTGGGCCATGGAATGAAGTAGGAGGTGGGACATGTACAGTCCTCACTGAGTTCTGAAAGTCATTTTTAATTGCAGGCAAGTGTGAACTACTAAACAGAACTATTGGACATTTAAACATAAGGCTGATCATAGGATTATTATCAGTTTTTAGACAGAACAGACTCACAGAGATAGAAAACAAATTTACGGTTACCAAACAGGGCAGGAGCAGGGGTATAAATTAGGAGAATGGGATTAACAGATACACACTACCACATATAGGATAACCAACAAGGACCCACTGTATAGCACAGGGAACTCTATTCAGTATATTATAATAATCTCTAAGGGCAAAGAGTTTGAAAAAGAAAAAAATATATATGTATAACTGAATCATTTTGCTGTATACTTGAAACTAACATGATACTGTAAATCAACTATACTTCAATCAAAAAAAGAGATGGCAGAATAAACTTATTTTTTCTTATTCTTTCATTTTTCCAGAGAGCTATTACTGCTGCCTTAATTCGCAAGAGTTTTAAAAATCAAATAAAAACTACGAGGTTATAATTCCAGAGGACTTTATGGTCATCTGTTTCTAAGAATCAAATAGTTAACTCAGAAATTCTTCATTATTTCTTTCCACTGACTGATTGTGTTCTGACAGTGCTTGCAGCCCAGTTTTACTGCACTGCCTTTTAAAATTCTCCTTAACATTTATTTTATTCAAATCCTCCCTTCAACAGTGAATAACTAACTCCCACTCCCACATACTGTACACAGTGTTAGCATAATAGCTTGAAAGTACTTTAGAGATTTTACACAAAAGTCTTTTGAAACTGTGCTCAAACTGAAGAATATATCTTTCTTCTTCCTATCAGTTTATCTTTTTCTCTCAGGAGACTTTTTTCTTTTATGAAAAGGTTCCCAAAATGAAATGCTTCTATCCCCTCCCTGGGAGATTGTGGTCTGCCCTAAAGGCAAGAGCGAAAGAACCACAGAACCTCAAAGACAGCAATGCCTTGACGTCTATTGTTTTTAAGTTTCTACCTTGTTAAATCAGAACCATAGACAAAGAAGCAATGCATATCTTATTCGAGAAATCGCTATTGGTCTCAAGCAAAACTGCACTCCTTAGCACTCTGATGAATTGATAAAGGCTAGGTCTATTTCCATGGAGTAAAATCCCAGTTCTCTCTCTCTCTTTCATTTTTTTGCCCCACTGTTTTGAGGTTTTGTGGGGTTTTTTTTAATTTAATTTTTAAAAAGCTTGTAAGTATAGTACATGCTACTTAGTAATCAATCTCTGTCAAGAAAATTATTCATTTGGGCACTGTCTTCACTAGATGTAACTGAAAAAAAATGCTTAATGCTATAAAACAATACAAACATAAGTGTTCATATTTTATATACTTTTGGTAAATAATACAACCACAGTGGGTCATGAAGACAACCTACTGAGTTCTTGCATTTCTTATATGTACCACAAGGGAATTTTTGGGAGAAGATGGAGAAGGCTTTTCCAATCGAAGGGAACTGGTTCTTACTGATTTTACACAAGAGGCTTCAAGATTGAGATTTTGTCTGGAAAACAAAGTGTTTGCTGCTGAAAAAGAAGCAAATTGCAAAAAAAGTGGCTTTGACTTTATTTTTTCTTCTTTCTAATCAAACGCTAACCATTCTTCCACGTTCAGATCATATTTTATCTTAAACAAGGCCCTCCTTGACCAGTCTAGAAAAACCACCCCTTGTTGAATGGACTTAAGTGTTTGACTCTCTGCGGTCGCTGTTGAGTCGTTCAGTCCTGTCTGACTCTCGCATCTCCATGGACTGTAGCCCTCCAGACTCCTATGTCATCCTGTTCAGGTTCATCACAACCTGACTGAGTGACCCTGGGCATGGCAATTACCATAGAGACTTACTCTGCGGGGGAAATGATATTTAAAGTTTAATTCAAATTTTTAAAAAGAAATGACATTTAAGTAAGTATTTAAAAGTAATATACTTACCTAGCACAAGATCTGATTCGTGGTAGGGTCTTCAATAGATGAAATTTGAATTTGGATTTCAAGCTATAGTATCTTCTTGCTTATTTTCTCAATCCTTTACTTGTGGCATCCCTATCGTTCTTATTTAAATTCTTATCCTTCTTAAGAAGCATGATTTTGGATTACTTTTCAGTTGTTCTTTCTTTGAAAACCTATACCTATCAGAGCAGTAGCTGTCAACCCTCCTGTACCTTAGAGTCTCCTAGAGAACAATTAAAAAGTAACAGTGCCTGGGCCCCACTTCTGACCAACTGAATCTGGAACTCTGAAGATAATCACAACATTTGCATCAGACAATAAACGAAAAAGTAAGGAGAAAGCATGATTGAATGCATGAAAGAATGACTAAAAATGCTTAATTAAAACCAAACCAAAAGAGAACTTAAGAGTTACAGCACATACTATACAAGAGGGATCTGAAAACACTCACCTTTGTTATTGTATACATCTAAGTAATTTGGTGCTGAAAAAATTGTAATGAGAGAAGGGAAGCCTGTTGTTTGGCTTTTCCTATACATGCGGTACCTAAAAACAATTAAATACAAGTCAAAACAAGGCTAAGTATGAAAGAAATACCACATTATAGATTTAGAAATAGAAAATTAAAGTTTTATCATTCAAAGAGAATCCAGTTATGTAACATTAAACAAAATTTTCTCACTAAAGTCTGTTACACAGAGATTTCAATTCATTTCAGGGTGACAATGAAAACACAGTCATACGTACAATTTCCAAATAGGTCTTTTCTAAAGTTAGTAGACCCAGGGAGGGTAGAATTCCGTGAAAAATCATAATTCATTTTTATATGTTCGATAGAGAGGATAGAGGCCACACTTCTTGCACGTAGATATCTGACCTACCATGTTTTCCATGCCAATATTTTTAACATAAAAAGACTAAATAAGCAGAGTAATATATAAACTTTACCACTAATTACCAAGCTGATTATTCTATTTATCTATAATATCCTATTATGACTACATAAATCCATTATGTCTAGGCTGATTTGCTTTTTAAAGAACATCTGGTTAAATATATGGGTTTTACAAGCTGAAATTGCTTCTGTTTTAGAATTTTATTTATTACCAGTCTCTTCTGGTATCTGTAGGTCAAAGATTATAATCTCAGCATATAAATATTTAATCAATCAGTAATGAAACATCTTCAAGATCTTTGGAAATAAATCAACAATCCAGTTGTTTTTCTCCCACTGAGGCAAAAATAAGACTCTAGTCCTCAAATAATAAAAAAATACAGGAGATTTGGTTCTTTTCCATCAAGCTGAAAAGGTATCTCATGACTTCTATGTTACAGATTTCAGGAATATCAATTTAGAAAAACTCCCGAAGTGCAAAACAAAATTTTATCATTCTTTGGTTATTCTGTGTCAGTAATTTCTGGCAGCCTAATCATGCCTAATTTAGCTGAGTTCTAAATGGGCCTCAAACAGTACCTTTAGATAGATAAATAATCACCTTAAAATTTCTAATTTTACAAACTTTTTGATACTACTTTTCCCAGAAGACAATACCCTCTTAAAAATCTTTCAGAATGGGCTCAAAGTATTTATTCTGCTTATGGAACTGAGCTTTGTTGGCAGAAAATCAGAATGTAAAAGATGTTGACACTCTTAATCCTAGTGTACTGACTTTATAAATTGTGGCTGACTGTGCTTACTTAACAACAAACAAAAATGAAGAATCTGGATGATGTAACCTCAATTTTTCCTAATGAATCAATCAACTGCTCATTTTAAACAAATATATTTGTTGATTTTAACTGATGTACTTGACCTATTTTCAGATAAGCAGATGGATTTCAGGTCTATCGTGGGATTGAGATAAACATGCTATGAACATGTTCAGTTGGGACAGTCAGCCAAAAAACAATGGTGACACCATTGCCCCCAAAGTGAAAAAGATGATTTGAGGATTTGATTGGCTGGGTTTATCAATAGATTACTGCAAATATCAGCTACAAGAGCACTGAGTGTACAATATCGGATCATTTCATACTTGTTGATTGACTGCTTGAGAAAAGCTAATTTTGAAAAAAAATTAGGATCTGCCTTGATTCAGAACCTTCACAGGCTTGGGTTTACTTCAGAATGTGGCATCTAAATTTCTGATTTCAGTACACAGGTTATAAAAATAAATGTTCCTCCTTTTCAGAAAATTTAGAATATGAAGGAAATGAAGTTTAAGCATTTAAGGCAAAACAGTGCCTTTTAGTGGAGCTTATTGGGAAGGGTATTGGGCTTCAAATCCTAAAGTTAATTATGCTTACTTCCCCATGCCTGTATCCCAAATGTAGATTTAATGTACCATCAGAGTGCATATCTGATATTTTTAAAATTTCTATGTCCTTACAATCTGTTTACATTTTAAAAAATTTACCAGCCATTACAAAATCATGTTATGTATTTGTGAGTTAGAATATAGGAGTTTCCCCATCATTTGAAGTCTCTGTTTTTGCCCTTTAAAACTTTACAGGGATCAGGAAAGATATTCTTTAAACAAGAGCACAACAATGCAATCTCTGTTAAATACTAATGTGTAATTCAGACCAACGCGGCTGACGGAGACTGAAAAGTAGCTGGTAATTCACTTACAGGTAAGACAAAGGTAAGAGCAGGAACTGAAAGAAATAGGAAGAGGTGGTCTCACTGGGTTTAAAACAGCCAGTTGAAAATTCTACCTGTTTATAAAGTGAAAGTGAAGTCACTCAGTCGTGTTACGACTCCCAAGTCCATGGGATTCTCCAGGCAAGACCGCTGGAGTGGGTTGCCATTTCCTTCTCCAGAGGTTCTTCCCGACACAGGGATCGAACCCAGGTCTCCCACACTACAGGCAGACTCTTTTCTGTCTGAGCCACCAGGGGGTCCTAAGCAGCTCACAGAGCAGTTAAAAGCAGACTTCACAGCACACCTGCAGCCACTTATTCCTCTGGATCCCGGCATATCTATGACACCAGAAGGCAATTTTTAGATCTAATCCTTCAGGGAGAGAGTTTGGCAAAGGCAACCTCCACAGCCAGACACATGAAGGAATGACAAAGCAACGCACGGGTTCATAAACCCACAAGACTGCTCACCCTGCATCCTGGGCTTCATGAGCTCGGAGGATAGATAACAAGTTATTGTGCTGCAAGAATTCACACACAGCCGGGTAACTGCCAGAGAGAGAGGAAGAAAAGAGAAGCATGTTATAAAATCATTAAGAGCATATTTTCTATAACATCCAGATCTATGTGATCTGATCAAGTGTAATCAAACATGCAACATTTATGACACAAACTTCCTGGTTCTAAGGACAGGTGTTCCCCTATGGGGGGAAAAATACCTATAGCTGAACTTTCTTTTTTTTTTAATTGAAGTACAGTTGATGTGTTAATTTCTGCTGTACAGTTAAGTGATTCAATTATATATATATATATACTATTTTATTTTCTTTTACATTATGGTTTATAACAGTATGTTAAATATAGTATCCTAAGCCATACAGTGAGACCTTGCTGCTTATCCATTCTGTATATGGTAGTTTACATCTGCCTATAGCTGTATTTCTATTTATTTATTTGCTTATTTAGGCTGTGCCAGGAGGCCTGCAGGATCTTAGTTCCCAGACCAACGATCGAACCCGGGCCCCCAGCAGTTGAAGCATGGAGTCCTAACCACTTGGACCGCCAGGGAAATCCATACAGCTATACTTCTAAAGAGCTGGAGGTGTATAAACTGGAAAAAGCATCCACTCATAGACAAAATCAATATTATCAAGTCTCTATCTAACCATAAAGTGAACAGAAGTATAAATATAACATGAGAGTGGAATTTAAAATATAAACCCCCATTTTCTCAAATACTGCCTTATATATATTTGGGTGCCTGCTTGGGAGCTTGACAGAAAGGTCTGAGCTAGGGAATGGCAGAGAGTAAGCCTTCTGAGAAGTCAAATTGTCAACATCTTTATGGGTAAGTCAACTGAATATGTCATTCAAAATCTAAACAAAATTATGAAATTCACAGGATTTAAAAATGTGTACTTTAAATATGACCAACAGAATTTTATATTTTTTTTTCCAGAATTTTATCTTAAGGCATATTCTTGATTGTGACTCAATAAAAATATCAAATATACAATAAAGATGATTTTGTCTAATAAGAAAGTCTCAAAACCAAAGATGGAAATGTAATTAAAAATGAGATTGAAATTATAAACTAAACATGGAAAATCTTTTGCAATCACTTTATCTCTGCTCCAAGAATTTTTAATGAGAAAATGTATATCATAAAAAGAAATACACTTTAGATAATTCAAATCAAGGGATAGCAAACCGACGCCCGTTTAAATATAAACAACTACAGATATTTACTAGAATCTAAACTACTAGAACCTTCTCAGAAGACAGAGGACGAGATGGTTGGATGGCATCACTGACTCAGCAGACATGAACTTGAGCAAGTCCTGGGATGTTGTGAAGGACAGGGAAGCCAGGGTGTGCTGATGTCTATGGGGTCTCAAATAGTCGGACACAACTGAGCGACTGAACAACAGCATACACTATAGTAAACAATTCCTAATGATAAAAAAAGCTCTTTGGGGAAATAATATATGTCAGTGAAATAATTTGTTGTAAAATAAAAGATGAAAATAGTTTCTATGCTACAGATTTTTCTAGGAATTCTCTGATGAATAGGAAAAAAATACCAATGGTATACCATTGCAGAGATACTAATGATAAACAGGATTCTGTTTCTTGACCTGAAATCAAAAACAGTCTTTGTGCCTGTGCACATATATTTCTGTGCATGTGTCTGAGTGTGCACATATGTGTGTTCTAGAATATTCCAGCAGTTCACTAGCGAGAGAGAGAGAGGAGACACCCGCGCGGCCCTCACTTCCCAGTGTTTCAAGTCGTCCCAATGAATGACTCACTGACTGGAGGAGAGGTTCCCCAAGTGTCTACATGGAAATATGTCCACAGAGTACCTAGATTACGAGTTGACCAGCGTCTGTTTTCAAACTCAGTTCTACTTTGGGAGAAGGCGAGTATGCCACCTTTCCAGACCAGTATGTCAACAAGAGCAACCTTAATTTCAGAGACACTGGTTAGTCTTCAAAATACACTACATTTGCTTGTTACATATTAAGCTATAAAATGCCCAGCCAAGGGCACTCAATAAAAGCTCCTTTCCTATCTCTTTAAGCAGTGTACTTATATTTCATGTGCCCATCACAATGGTCCTTTAGAAAGACACTTTATTGCCTTGTACCACTGTAAGACAAAGGTTGTCTGTCTAGGTTTGTTACTTATTTCCTTTGGGCAAATGTCTTGGCTGCTCTTTTTTAATCTATTTTTTTTCCTTTTGAAAGAACTTACCTAATCTTATGAAAACATAATTTTAATATATTTTCCTCATGCTAAAGTTTGATACCTTACATGTTTAATCTAAGTTTCCTCCCATGGAGCTATATGTCATTTTTAATGAAAATATGAAGAAGATAAAATTAACATAGCAGTAATTTGCTAGGTTAATAGCTTTAAGTGAGGAACACTTGCATTATTACTTGGAACAAACTTCATTTTGAAGAGGATATTTCAAAATGTAGACGCATGTATAATCTCATACTTGAACTTCCTAAGAATTACAAACATTTTTCTAAATAATTTCTTTAATTAGAGATAAAAACCTTCTACCATAGTTTTATGGAAATATAAATGGGAATAAACCACAAAGTGTTTAGCTGAAAAGGATTTAAAAACACATATGTAAAGTGGTAGGAAAAGCAGAGTTCAGAACATGTTAACAACACAGAGAGAGCTGGAAAATCATTAATTCATGAATAATTTATCAAAGACTTATTGGTAATTTTTTTTTTTCCATTTGTTATGAGACACAAGGAGGGTGGCATGATAAGTGCAAGGAATGGTTTGTGTTCTGAAGATATAATCCACTAGGTAGGAAAAGAAAACAAATAATTTAAATTAAAAAGCTATATTAAAGATAAAACAGTAAAGTTTCATAGAGACATTGTAAAGCAAGAAACAAAGCATGTGGGTCTGAGGAAATCTTAAAAAAAAAATCTTTCTCTTGTACTAGACCTTTTTTCTTGTCTTTTCTTCTCTATTCATTACTAAGGTGATGCTTCTGAGCTCACCAAGAAGAGTCTCTTCCTCTAGGCTGATGAGTCCAAAAAGGGGTCTGGCTGAGCCTTCTGAACAGAAGGTGGGCTGGATCTCAGCCCCCCACCATGCACCTCCACAGGGGCACATTTTCAGGAACAATCTATCTGCAAGAGTGATTTTGCTGGAAAGGTTTCATCTAACCCTGGGTCCTGAGCATGTCTTATAACAACACTTGCTTCAAGGGTTGGTGAAGGCCAGGGATGCTTTCAGCTTTGTGATATTCATTTACCACAATGTGTAGGTGTATTTAGGGGAAGAAGTTATTGTATCCTTTGATGCTTCTTAGTTTTTTTCTGTTGGAATATGAGTACTCCTTAAGCACTAGAAACTGCATCTTCTTTGAGTAGAAAACAAGGTGGAAATTTCCATGGAATAGTGAGACTCATTCTTACATTTAGGCTCTTATTCTACCTTTTTGAGCCTGAATTATGACATTTATAAAAATTTAGACAGTATTATTTATTTCATTGAACTGAGATGAAGAGGTACCTTAAAAGAGGTAGCAATATATGTAGATGTCCTAGACCAGAGCCTGGACCATAGCAGTAGACATTCGCAATGTCTCCTATTTGTCCCCCGACCACCATGGTGTGGAGGGAAGAATACACCACAGAATGAATGGTGAGTCAGCAACTCCAGGTTCCAGCAGTAGCTGCTCCATTTATTAGTTGTGACTTGTGTTAGATCTCAGGGGCAATGACTTACGGGGATTAGTAGACAGGTAAGGTGCTAGAATTCCACCCAAAAAAAAAAAAAGGAATAGGAAGGAGACTGACCATGAGCAAAGGTGAAGCAGAAAAGACAAAATCACGAGAAATGAGAAAAAAACTGTTCTGGCATCAGAGCAAATAGCTCTTACTAGACTAGACTTACTCTGCTGATGCTCTTATTTTTGTTTCTGGTTATGTTAAAATATATTTTAGACCCTGAAATAAATCTTGTAGATTTCAGATGCTTTAAACCATGCCAACAGCCAGTAAGCATTAGGGAAATGGCTATTTTATGCTTCTATGCCTTTGCATCTTCTTTCCCTGTGCTTGTTTGTTTGTTTCTTCATGAAGGACCACTTTTCTGCCAAGCCTCAGCTAAATTATCACTTGGGAAACCTTCCCTTCAAACCTACCTCACCCTGAGGTGTACAAAATTGCTGCATCCACCATGTTCCCATAACATATGAATCTAATATATCACCTGTCATGCTGTAGTGTAATTTATGTTTCTACATCTGCTCTCTAGTAACAGTGAATGAATGCCTTAAGAGACAGACACTTTTATTTGTCTTCATATCCTAAATGCTCAGCAGCAATTTGTCAGCTTACTGATGCTCATATGCAATTGTTGTAGTAGCCTCAACATGGGCGGTTACATAAGTGAGAGATGCAAAGAGTTTCTCTCCCTCACTGGCCTCAGCAGAGCAGAGGCAGTCAGCCTGCAATCCCTCGCCAGTGGACCAAGAAAAAGCTTCCACTCACTTCCTTGGTGCCTCAGTTGCTGTCAGCCCCGTAGGATGGAGGGCTCACCCCCCTGCCCAGCTCCCTCTCTGCTCCTTGGGACCTGCCAACAGATTATTAGCCTCGGGATGTCCTGGTGCTGCCTGGATGATGTCAAAACTATCTTTTCCTAGGACGTGCTGTGCTCTTCTCTCTGCCCAAGGGTGTTCTAACTAATTTCATTTTGCCTGCTAAGGGTCAAGTCTGGTAGGGTTCCAACTCTTCCTGCCAGAATTTCACTAGAGCCTAAGCCCTTACTTGCTCCTGGCTGCCAGGTGCCTCAGGAGTGGTGAGCGAATTTTAAGGCAAACTTTTTATTGAAGTACAACATCTTAACAGAAAACTGCACAAATGAGAAGATGACGAACTGATACACAAAACTGCACAAATCAGACAGTTACAACTGGACAACCTTGTAACTAGCATTCATGTCAAGACAGAGAACATTACCTGAACCCCAGCAACTTTTCACATCTTTGAGACACCATTACCTCCTCACTAAGGGTAACTACCATCCTGGTTTTTAATGTTATAGATCTGCTTTCTCTAATGCTGAACTCCTATTTCAATGAAATCACCAAGTACACCCCCTTCAGTATCTGGTTTCTTCAGCTCATCATTATACTTGTGACACTCATCCATGTTGTTCTGTGCAGTTTTGGTTAACTCATTCTCATTTGCTGAATTTAGCTGTATAAATATTCTACAATTTATTACTCATTCTACTAAATAGACATTTGTTTCCATTTCTTGGCTATTGAATACTGCTGCTATGGACACTCTCGTATGTGTCTTTTGGCACACATGTGTAAGTGTTTCTAGTTGATATAAAAACAGGAGTAGAATAGCTTAGTTATGAGGGTCCAGCTTTAGTGTATACCAAAGCAGCTACCTATAATTTGGGACTGGAGGTCCAGCGAGACCATTTGGGTAGTCATCTTTCTAGAATTTCCAGAGCATTGTTTTCCTCATATTTTTCACCACTTTCCCCACCTGCAAGAGAGTTCACCACTGATTCTGGTTGGATATATCCTACTCATCCTTTAAAGCTCAGGTCTAACAATATTTCCACCATGAAGAGTCTCTTAAACACCATCCATCCTTGTTTGTGTGTGTGTGTGTGAAAGAGAGATAACTTCCACATTTATCACAGAACTACTCACCTTGCAATTTATTTGTCTGTTTATTTTTTGGTCTCAGCCACTAGACTGTCATTCCCTCAAAGGCAGGGACTTCGAGCATCTATAAAACCTCACAGAAGGCATATATAGTACGTGTTCAGCTAATATTTGTTAAATAATTGAATGAGTGAATGAATTCTCCAAAGGATACCTGTGAATATGGAATAGTTGAATTGAGGTGAAGGGAGGGGAAGGATGCTGTGAAAGAAGGTATGATTTCAACAGACTAAAAATGGTCTTGAACTCAGAGTGGGAAGGAGGGAAGGTAGGATGGTCTAGATGCTGGTTATATTTTAAAGAGAGGGCCATTAAGATATGATGACCGGTTAGTGGTGATTTAAATGCAAGAAGAAAAAGAAAAAATATTTGCTACTCTGTATAACTGGGAAAATAAACCACTAACAGAAAAACCAGGAAAAATCCCCAGTGGAAAGGTAAATAATAAACCTCTTCAAGTGAGTTCAAGAGAAGGTGACAAAGGACATCTAAGATGAAAAATTCCAGCAGAAAACTAGAAATAGAGAATTCAAGCTCAGGAAAGATAAAGAGATAAATGGACCAGGCACAGATCTGGTAATCTAACCAGAGTTCACAGTTTACGGTGAAGCTAAGGACACAGATGAAGTTCTTGGGTAAAGTGTGAAGAAAAAACTGTCAAGAACAGGAGGAAGACAAAGAAAGACGCAGTGGAAGAGACAGGGATCTGCCTGATAAGTTGGAGGGCAATCAGGATCTGTGAAAAAGGAGGAACCACAGGCTTTCAAGGTGAAAAGGGCGGACAAGAGTGCCAACTGCCAAAGAGCAGTGGGCAGCTTGGGAACAGAAGAAAGGATGCTGATCTGTGATTAAGAAACCAGCAGAGATTGGAGTGAGCTGCCATTTGCAGCTTCAAAAACACATTTTATGTGGCCCTCAAGATGTTTTTCAAATCTCAGTGCTTAGAGGAATGTAAGAATGGTTAGTTAAACTTCCTCCTGGAGCAAGCTAAATCCAGAACACAAAGTTCACAGGACGCATCTAAGGCCAACAACCCAAAGCACCAAGTCTGGCCAACAGTTTCATTTGCTTTAATGAAGATGAAATTTTGACCTCTGATTTGTCATGATCTTCACGAATCTTTACAATCTAACATGCAAACTTTGGTCTAAGGTTCAAAGGTAACAGTAGCACTGGAGCAAAAAGAGATTCCTTCCTCCTTCCTTCACTGTTTTCTATAACTCATGAGCAGCATCAGCAAATCCTTCTAGATGCATTTGTCCATGCAACTTTATTTTATTTAAACCATTGCCCAGACAATACATCAGATCATGGACAGAGTGGCAGAGCAAATTAAATACACAAACTAGATACATGTGAAATAAAACTGGGACCTGTGGATGAAAGTAACTGCCAATAACTCAAACAGGTAATGACTGCCAATAACTCTACCTGTTTTTATTGTTCTTCTACCAATTTTCTTGTTCCTTTGTACCTGCTCTAGACCAGCTTTATAAACCATGGCCATAGAAGATGCCTTGACACCTTCAAGATGGCATGAAAGACAAAAGAATCCAAAAGTTCTAGAGGAATGCATGAACCATTTTCCTCTTCTTCAGAAAAGACATAATCCACACTGCTTTACCATTAGTCAGAGGACACAGGCTGTGGATTTTGACAGGCAGCATTTGTCATGGCTGCCTTAAGATCACCATCTCTCAATAACCTCTAATGAGATGAGTTTAACAATTGTTTTGTTGAGAACAAACGTGTGAAAGCAGACATAATCCTCTAAGTATCTAGTTGATGGACTTTATCTCTGATGTAAACATATCTAAGTCTACAGTCACAAAACAAAAATATCGTAACTTTATACAAGTTCAGTACAGGACTTTATTTAGAAGATGACATATTTGAACAGGTAACTCAGCTAATAGAAGGTTATACTATGAATTAAAGAAAGATTAATACTATATGTGTTAATATCAAAATCAAGAAGTTTATATTTTGTTTGATATTATATTATTGAAGTGCAATTCAGTGGTATCAAGTAGGTAATTTAAACACTCTTGGTATAATTAATGATTTAACACTAGATCTGAAAAATGGAACACTTGGCAAATACAGTTGTGTTTCAACAAAACAACTTTTCACTAAAGTTAAAAGTCTTTAATAAAAGATTACTCCCTAATTAACTAATTACTGAAAAGAAATCTTTAGGCTTTTCAGAAATACTATACCATGCCTTTATTTTAGCCAAAGTTTCCAAAACTTAGAAATGAACTGCAAACTTTCTGATAAACAGGCTTGGAACAAACCTCTTAATATTTAAAACAAAGACTATTTTTTGAATGATACTTTCTGTTCACAAACTTCAATTTCCCAATCACATCAACAGATAAGCAAAAGGAAACTTTTTTGTCCCATCAGGGAAACAATGTATGGGACAAAATATTCCCGAACAAACTCTGATCAGTATTATGCAGGAGGATATCTGCTTACTCAAGAGATGAAAGATGCAGCTGGATGCAGTTCACAGAGTTCTTCTAGTCTGATCATTAGCTTAGCTGCCAGGGCAGGAATTGAGTGTAAACTTCAGTGACTATTGGGTATGATTTTTCAGTTAAGAGAAAAACAAAACAAAACCAAAAAACCACACTGTATTCTAGAACTTAAATTCTCAACTTCTCCATAATCTCTTTTGCATTTTCATTCTGGCCATTTTCATATCAAACTGTATGTCTGATAAGGGAACCTAGTGAAACTGCCGGTAATAAAATGCAGTAGGCTAAAGTTGAGGTAAGATATCAGGAAGATCATGAGGGCATGCAAGAATCCCAACTGAGTTGCTGACTTCTTTCTGAAATGTTACGGGTATGGGGAAATCTGCATGCATTTGCAAACAGAAACATTACTATAAAAATTTTGTCAATATGGCTTGTCAAGTGCTAAAAATAAATTTACGGTGGTACTTATATACTGGGTTGCTGCTAATTTTAATTAATAATTATTCAGGAAGTCTGATGAACTTAAGAAAATTTAAGAATAACTTGAAAATAATTTAGTTAACCAATTTAAAGTTGTTTTTCTGATTTAAGATATGAAAACTGGTAAAAACATCTTTAAGTGATTACATAATTGAATGAAAAAAAAAAATCAAGGCTGGCACTGGATTTTTTCCCCTATGGTTCTTGAAACAGAATCAACTTTCTGCCAAACCCTACTACCTTCTTCAGCTGCTTTGACATCATGAAACTACTTGCCTCTTTTATGACTTTTCTATTCTTCATGGATAGTGTATCTATATGTCTGTATTGATACATCCATTTATTTATCTATCAATTTATTTATTTATATTTTTATTTCTCAGGGGCTAAGAATCTATTTGAACCAGGCTTTCAAAGAGAACCTTCATTTATATTTGTTTCCTAGAAAAGTTACGCACATAACAAATAAATCAAATACATGGACGGATCAATGACAACAGTTATGAACGCCACATGCTCCAGGAGGTGGAGCTCTCCGACCTCACCTGTAGAAGTATGAACACCCCCTGACTGTGTTGTGAGTGAAATGTTCCTGAGTCTTCTCGTTTCCAAAATCCTCCAGCGGGTCTGACCACAGGATATCACACATAGGTCCATAAGCAGGTGGTTCTTTGAATCGGTCTAACTAAGAAAAATAGAAGACAGAGAGCAAAATACTAATCTTTGGAAAGCTGGAACTTAGAAAATAGAAGAAACCAGCATTTCACAGAAACCATCTTTGCTTCCCAGTCACTGCGCACCCCCCAACCTCTCTCCTGTTCTGAGGTCTTTCCTCCCCATTCTTCTACTCCTCACCTTTCTTCCATTTTCCTTCCTTCTTCTTTCTGAGGCTCATTTATTATCTGCCTTCATTTCACCTTATACCTCCCTCTTGCTTCTTTAATTCCCACGCTGTTTTTCCTTTCTCCTGATTTCCTCTTTGTCTTTCTCTCATTTTTTTTTTAAATCTAGCCAAGTGTTTTAGTTATTACCAACTGAGGTTCTACCTGTGTTTCATTTCTTGAGAAGCTTTTATTTGATTTTTTTGGAAATTTTTGTTACTGCCTCCCATTGAAATGTGATTTAGAAATCAGGATAGGGAACAACTTATGGTGTTTATATTTAACAATATAATTTTGAGAACAGACAGCTTTCATTTTGAGGGTAAGCACTTGCTGTATGACATTTTGGGTTAGGGGTTAAGTTTCTAATTAAAACCAAGCTGATCAGAGTTACCTTACAAACCAATCCTAACAATAAGCAGTAAAATAGACCCCAATTTAGCAGGTCGTTTTTCAGTCCACAGTCCTAATTTTCCTAGCTTTACCTGAAGTCCTCATATGAAATCAATTTTCCAATTTTCTAGCTATACATGTTTAGCAAAGCCATATTTCAATTTAAAATGGTGCATCTAGAAGCTATGAGCACTATAATAACTGGAAATGACATTTCACCAACAATTTTACAACACTGTCACTTTCCCATAGTTTATCCTGATTTAACTGCAATGAAAGGATTTGGGGTGGTTAGCAGATACTACAGAGTCTCTCAAAGAAAAGCATAGCCCAGCTATGAAAACTCATTAAGAACCAAAATTCTGCATACTTGATACTATAACATTAAAAAAAAAAAAAAACCCATGGGACAGGTGAATATATAAGTCTGACAGCCCATGAAATTCTTTTTCTGAGACATACAAAGTAATATAAATAGTGATCTTGCTACATAGCATTTTTTTTTTTACTAATATCCAAAAAGTACAAAGCAATATTTCACATTTTCAACACCCAATGAAAACCTTCAATAAGACAAGACCCTCTATATTTCAACCATTTTGCTATCCATAAAATATTCACTGCAAACTTAGACTTGTTTAAGAGACTTAAATAATTTATGCTTTGGAACAATTCATACAAGAAAAAGAATGTTTGTCCATAAAAATACAGAATTTCTTTCTAAGAAACAAGAATTTATTATTAGGGCTAGAACCATAAAGGAGGAGATACTTTCTGACAAAAGTGGATTCCCAGCTAGAGCTTTGGTAGAGCAACCAGAGTACAGAATTTACTCTGGAAAAGTTATAAAATGCATTCTAAAATTAATATCATCTACAGTTAAACAACTATGAAATTAATTAAATAAAATAAGTGTGGTGGAAACGCTAACTGACATATGGAAAATGCAAAGCAAAAGTCACTCTACAGCAAAGTCTAAAGCATATGATAATAAGAGAACTGAACATAGTATCTGAAACATGCTAGAAACACAAGTCCTAGGGTTAGCAAAGGACATTTAAAAAATCTACATAATTTGTGATAAGAAGTGTAGTTACTGATTTCAGGAGTCCATCAGATTGCAGGATAAATTGGTTTCATTCATGCATAAAGTGAATCACACTGTACTTTAACTCAGTGACTACATTTCGGTGTCCTGTCTCCATAGAACTTTAAATGTAAAGCAAAAACCAATCCTTCGCGTGTTACAGAACACCAGAAGCAGATGTGCAATGGCATCTTACAAAAAAAGACACAAGCACGCAGGGAAGGCTTATTTAATGTACTTTTGTTTAATTTTAAAAATAAAACCCATCATTTCCTTTCTAACAGGAAAGCAAATACAATCTTATTTTTTACATTTGAAGACCTGAACTTTAATTCAGGTAGAATTCAAATGTTTTACTTACCTAAATATCGCTTTCCTTTAAAAAGCAATGACATTTTAAAAGGATACTGAGCATAATCAAAGAAATAAAAGATGTCTCTTCCACTAAAGAAAAATATCCTATGCTACATTTTCTCATGAAAGAGGTATTTTCACACTCAACCTAACTCATCGTTTTTGCTGGCTAAAACAACACTAATAGCTAGTGTTAAATTAAGTAGAAAAATATCTCGTAAGAAATGAACCGCTTTTTACCTCACCACTCAATACAATCAATAGAATAGCATCATCATCTTTGTTAGATTGTTACTTTAAAAGTTTAAGCTGTAAAAGTATATTTTTTAAAAGAATAACAATATGGACACATTTTAAAAGTCCTGTTGTGATATTTCCCCAAGACAAAAACAATGTCTTTTAACTGCAATATATCATGACTATATAATGGGTTGTTTGAAACAAGTCAAAGGGAAATGAAAAGGCATATATGTTTATCTTTTTAGTGATCAAATATTTTACATTTCTAATGTCATTTCACATGGCAAAAGGAACCTTGAGGTTTTAAAGTATAAATATATCCTTCTTTCTGGATAAAAAGTGAATATAAAGAAGACATTCATGACTACTTTAGATCATTTTAATTCAAAAGGATAAAGTTATTGTTAAAGGCAGGGAAATTAATGTCATGCATTTATTACTGAAGGACAAAAAATGGCTAGACCTGGAGAATAACAGAACTTACTTTTCTGATATCATCTAAAGTGTTTATCTCTGGAGACAAACCGCCATGTACACACAGGAACTGCTGGTTCATCAGGGCAGCCAGGGGCAGGCAGTCAAAGGCATCCATGCAGGCATCATATACGCGTTCTGAATACTTTATTTTACCTTTAAAACATTATCAAAAATGAGTTACTTACTCTTATGATTTCGGAAGTAGAATTGGTTCATAAAAATTAATTTTTTTGTTTTCTTGCTGGAATCATATTAGCATATAACTACACATGCAAAGTTTCAAATGTGATTAAAGATTTTTTAAAGTTATATATTAACATTTATGTCTACTGTTCTTTACTTTTGTGGTTCATCCATATTTGACCATTTTTAGTAATTTTTTCTATAATGGAGGAGAGAACTTTTGCATACATCCATTTCTGCTATTTATCTACAGTATTAGTCGCTCAGTCATGTCCACTCCATGTGACCCCATGGACTGTAGCCTGCCAGGCTCCCTTAGCCATGGGATTCTCCAGGCAAGAATACTGGAGTGGGTAGCCATTCCCTCCTCCAGGGGATCTTCCTGACCCAGAAATTGAACCCGGATCTCCTGCATTGCAGGCAGATTCTTTGCCATGTGAGCCACCAGGGAAGTCCTATTTACCTACAAATGTATATTAAAAACAAAACAGAACACAAAAACTAGGAGATCAATGGAAGAAGATACAAAACTGGATGATTCTCCTGAACCTTCTTATAGAAAGCAGATAGCAAGAAAGTTTTTAATGTTGCTTCTAAATCAGTGCACATTGCTTTTCCTTTATTAACTTATAGCTAATGTTTTAGAGAAGTTTTGTGTTCCATTGAAATAGGATTAAATGAATGACAGAGAGAAATTTAAGTTTCCAAAGACAATGAGGAAAATTAAGAGAGAGGAAAATGACATTTATATGAGGTACTCCTTACCCCTAGTGTTTATCTCTATAAGAAGAAGTTGTCTTTAATTTTATAAAATCCACTTGAGGCTGGTAAATCCTTTGCATCCAGAAAGAGAAGCACAAGGTTGAATCTGTCCTCCATTTGATTTTATTGAGTTATCTGAGATTGAAAATTAGGATTATCCTAAACAGCAGTATTCTGACTACTTCAAAAAATAACTTACTTGCTTGTTGTTTAGGCTTGTTGCTGCTGTTAAGTTGGTAAGTCATGTCCAACTCTTTGCAACCCCATGGATTGCAGCATGCCAGGCTTCCCTGTCCTTCATTATCTCCTGGAGTTTGCTTAAACTCAGGACCATTGAGTTGGTGATGCCATCCAACCATCTCATCTCTGTCACCCCTTCTCCTCTGCCTTCAATTTTTCCCAGCATCAGGGTCTTTTCCAATGAGTTGGCTCTTTGCATCAGGTGGCCAAAGTATTGGAGTTTCAGCTTCAGCATCAGTCCTTCCAATGAATATTCAGGATTGATTTCCTTTAGGACTGACTGGTTCAATCTCCTTGCTGTCCAAGGGACTCTCAAGGGTCTTCTCTAACACCACAGTTCAAAAGCATCAATTCTTTAGCACTCAGCTTTCTTTATGGTCCAACTCATATCCATACATGACTACTAGAAAAACACAGCTTTTACCATGTGGACCTTTGTCATCCAAGTGATGTCTCTGCTTTTCAATATGCAGTCTAGGTTTTTCACAGTTTTTCTGCCTAGGAACAAGCATCTTTTAATCTGCTGTCTAGGTTTGTCACAACTTTTCTTTCTAGCAGCAAGCATCTTTCAATTTCATAGCTGCAGTCATCATCTGCAGTGATTTTGGAGACTAAGAAAATAAAATCTGTCACTGCTTCTACTTTTCCCCCTTCCATTTGCCATGAAGTGATAGGACTAGATGCCATTATCTTCATTTTTTGAATGCTGAGTTTTAAGCCAGCTCTTTAACTTTCGTCTTTCACCCTCATCAAGAGGCTCTTTAGTGCCTCTTCGCTTTCTGCCATAAGGGTGGTGTCATCTGCATATCTAAGATTGTTGATATTTCTCCCGGCAGTCTTGATTCCAGCTTGTGATTCATGCAGCTCAGCATTTCACATGATATACTCTGCATATAAGTTAAATAAGCAGGGTGACAATATACAGTCTTGATATACTCCTTTACCAATTTGGAACCAGTCAGTTGTTCTATGTCCAGTTCTAACCGTTGCTTCCTGACCTACATACAGATTTCTCAGGAAGCAGGTAAGGTGATCTGGTATTCCCATCTGTTTAAGAATTTTCCACAGTCTGTTGTGATCCACACAGCCAAAAGCTTTGGCTTAGATGATTTTCTGGAAACCCTTTGCTTTTTCTATGATCCAACAAATGCTGACAATTTGATCTCTGGTTTGTGTGCCTTTTCTAAACCTTAGGCTAAATCACATCAAATATTAATTCAAATTTTATATCATTTATAAAGAACTTATAATTTTAAAAGAAATTCTTAATTCTCTTAACTCGCCATGCTAAGAAAGTAATATGAAATGATATGGTCTCATTTTTTGAGCTTTTTACTTTTAAGCAATGGATCATAATGTAAAACTCTGTATGGATTAAAATGACTATTTAGCATACACGGTGTTAAAAAAGAAACCAGAAGTATACTTACATTCTTGTTTAAATGTGAAATACTCTGTTAGATGTCTACATTCATGATTTCCACGAAGTAAAAACAGTGTTTTGGGGTAAAGAATTTTCAAAGCCCACAAATACAGCACACACTGAGAAAAAAAAGAATAATATAAAAATAAATATTTTCCATTATAGTTACACATACTTTGGCTCACATACCAGGAAGACATGAACAAAATGTGCTAGTATGGCCAAAGTCTCCAAAAGACTATGTCTTTTTTAAGGAAGATACTGAAAATCAAACAGAAAACATTACTTCGGTACCAAGCCAGATTCATCTACATGTGCTCAGTTGCTCAGTTGTATCCAAATCTTTTGCAAACCCATGGACTATAGCCTGCCAGGCTCCTCTGTCCATGGGATGCTCCAGGCAAGAATACTGCAGTGGGATGCCATTTCCTTCTCCAAATGTTCATCTATACTAAAATATAAACATTGCATTGGGGATCTAGACAACACACGCAAACAATGGACTACATACAGTCTATTGGATAAAACCGAAATGAAAATATATTAAAAATGAAAATATCCTAGTGTAAAAGTATGAGAAAAAATGGGATGAACAGTTAATAAATAAAATAAAGCCACTTCTCTTTGTAAAGCTAATTATTTTGAACAGAAATGGAAGAATCAGCAAGGAAAGGCCTGACAAAATTTGGAAGCAAACACTGACAAGCTCAGGCTAACCTGGATTGTGTCTCTATCTTCTGTTATGCTCTTCTCTCCTTCACTAGTCTTCTCTCCCATTATCTTGTCTCTTATTTCAGTGCCTTTGGTATTTACAGCCTTGAGCTTTTCATTTTATATATAATTGCAATCAAAATGAAGGCCAAGGAAGCTCACTACATATGCTGTTGACAGCTAGGGGAAACTTTTCAGATACCTTAAAACTCACAAAATAATTAGCTGTGTATTGCAGTTTGTATAAAAATGAGGCTTGGAATCAACCTACATTGACACAGTCTTCCAGAAGGGTGGATTAAGATAACTGGGATACTCAAGTATTAACACCAATTTCATTATCCCCAAATAGCACTCATTAAAAATCCACAGGGAAGAGAAAATTACACTGAGAACAAGTGTGCTTTTTTATTCTCATGGACTTTATTCTGAAAGTGAAGCTAAAGAACCAGAAGAATATTGAGATAAGTCTGACTCTAGTTACTAAAATCTAAAACCCCAAATAAAGCAATATTTACACTTTAATAATGAGCTTTCTAACATATGGTTGGAATGAGGGACAAGCTACTGGCAATTCATCTGTGGTGCTACCTATGAACAATCATCATTTCTGTCAGCTCATATGATTATTTATTAAGTCAATGGAAGTAAATGTTTGAATACACAGACCTAGTTTTAAAGAAACTAGCTTTATTGAGTTGTTCAAGCCAGATATTGTCCCAAATTATGTAATTATAATTGAATAAACCAAAATGATGAGATAACATCAATTTTAAATATATATGTTACATTAAATAATTTTACAATGACTAGTTTGTGCTTATAATTATTACCTAAAGTTCATGTGAAAGATGATATTACTATTTCTGAGAAGTTGACCAATTGGCCAAATGAAAGGATTACAATCTTTTGATAAGTGTAAAAATCCCCTATTATCTCAGTGGGTAGTAGGTGGCTCAATGAGTCTCTCTTATGTATCAGGTTTAGAGGGCGCACTTACAACGTTCTAGCAAAAGGAAAGTATTATCAAGCTTGTCTCAGATTTCAGAGAAGATATACACTGTTATTAATGTCAATGTGAGAGTCATTCTGATTTAAATTTATATGATTGTATCATATGTATATTTTGTTTCTATACTATGTATAGTGTAATTTAAAATTATAAATTAAAAATATAAACTAAATTATAAATTATATATGTATATATTTTTTCCAAATAGATTGCTAACATTGGATGCTTGATTTGGAATAGAAATGGGTATGTGGAATCTTTTAAAAATCATATTCAAGTGCTCAGGGCTGGTGCACTGGGATGACCCAGAGGGATGGGATGGGGAGGGAGGTGGGAGGGGGGTTCAGGATGGGTAATACATGTAAACCCATGGCTAATTCATGTCAATGTATGGCAAAAACCACTACAATATTGTAAAGTAATTAGCCTCCAACTAATAAAACTAAATGGAAAAAAAAATCATATTCACTTGTTGAAATTGTATTTAAGGCATATACTGTGGGAGAGACTATGTGCTTTGGCTATATTGTAGTTACTTTTTAAAAAAGATTTTGCTTTTTGCTTTCACAAATGCATAATTTATATCCAGTGAAATGTACATATCTTAAATGCACTGGTCAATGAATTTTCCCATATGCATATTCCCATGAAACCACCACCCAGATTCAGTCACATTTCAGCATCCAGATGGCTCCCTTGTGCCCCCTCCAGTTAGCATCCTTCGGAAAACATCACCACAGTTCTGAACTCTTTAGATTAGTTTTACCTATAACAATTTATTTTAAAGCAAAGCTATAATCTCTCCAACAAAGATCTAAACTGCAGTTTAACCCCACTCAGATACTACCAGAGGAATCACATTCTAGAGCCCATATACTCTTTTTCTGCCATCTGTTAAAGATCATGTTTTGACATCAGCACATGGCTTTATCACCTCTAGTCTTAATTACTGTAGCTCTTTCATAACTGAAACCTCAAAGGTTCTATGGCTTCCTTATCATATCTATTTACCTTTTGAACGATTCAATACACATTTCATACCCCTTATTATATAATGGATGTAAAGCTCCTTGCATGTAGTAGAAATTTAGGAAACAGTAACTCCTTTCCTATAAATGAGAAGGAAGACAGCCAGAAAGGAGAGGGAGCAGAGAGAGAATGGGGGAGAAAAAAGAGAGATGACAGAGAGAAATAGGAAGGGAGGGAAGAGGGGGGAAGGAGGAAAGAAAACACTAAAGAAAACTCAATTTCCAAATTCTTGGCTCAGAGGACCCTAAAAATAAGAGTCCTCTTTTCACATTTTATTTCCCACTCCCCTGTGGCAAGAATAAAATATCTTCCCAAACACTGAACAAAACCACAAATGCAGCCAATATGGAATAAGTGGCATGGTAAATGACAGGGCAAGGGTGGATTGGAGAGTGGAGGCCCGCCAGCCTTCGCCCGCAACATCTGGTGGGAGAGAGCTGCCAAGCACAACTCTGTCTTGCTTGCAACTATTTTGTCATCTAAAGTTCTAACATTCTGGAGATCTAAAGAACTTAAAATTGCAACTTGATATTCTTTAAAAGAAAAAAAGAAAGAAAGAAAGAAAGAAACCCCATGTCAAACATTATCACAATTAATAAACAATGAAATAAAAATTAGTTAAATAGCTGTTTTTTTGGTCCATGTGGTATCAGATGGCTAGTCTGAATAAAATTTTCATTGGATTTACTGAGTAAGGTAGAAACAGAGAGGCAAGTTCAATTGGCTTTTTTTTTTTTTTGCATGGTGATATATAAATCAGTTGCACTAATCACTTTCAACAAGACTTTGACTATTTTTTCCAGTCTAAGTAATTAAACAGATATTTACAATTTAACTCGGACTTCCCTGGTGGCTGAGATGGTAAAGCATCTGACTACAATGCGCGAGACCACGGTTTGATCCCTGGGCTGGGAAGATTCCCTGGAGAAGGAAATGGCAGCCCATTCCAGTACTCTTGCCTGGAAAATCCCAAGGATGCAGGAGCCTGGTAGTCCATGGGGTTACAAAGAGTCAGACATGACTGAGAGACTTCACTTTCACTTTACAATTTAAAATTAGCTTGGTTTTGTCAATACAAAAGATTGAGCATCCTCTAATCTTTTTATTAATTATTATCATAGACAAAGATTTTTCTTATGTATCTGTCTTCGTCAGTGAAGTAGCACTAAGGATATAATTTTCTTCATTAGTTTAATTGGCTCGACTATATATGTGTACATATATGCTTCAGATATGTAGCAAGCAGCTCCCTAAAATAACTATACATGCTATGAAACATTCCAATCAAAAATGCTGTCTCTCAGTCACAGGACGACCAAGTGAGGGATGTGTATTGGCTGGGAAAAGACCCAGATTTCGGAAATGTCACAGGCTGCTCCTCCAGCCATCATTTGCCTGGTCTGACAAGGATACAGAGAAGCAGTGCTGGGACTAGCGATGTACTATAAAGGCCAGCGGATGCAAGGAGACAGCCCAGCAGTTTCCTCCTCATGTCTGCGGCCTCACTCTGTCACCTCACATCACCTGCTGTACTGTTTGCTTGTTATTCTCAGGCAGAAGCACGGAACACTGCCTGACGTGCCGTGGTCCATTCTAGTCTATGGGTTCACAGCCAGTAAATACAATTCTTCCTACTTAAAGGAGTCTGAGGCCTGGGCTCAGATCTAGTCATTAGTACCATGGGAGGAGCTCAAGGCAATGTCTTGCAGTGCAGAATGGCTAGAAAGGGAACTCGATGAAGTGAATAGAAGGAAACAGCTGTGTGCGCCTCTTCTTCCAATTCTGAGTTTTCCCTGCATTCTCAGAGAAACACACTCAGCCATGAACCTATATATATAAGCTTATATGTGTGTGTACACACACACACACACACACACACACATTAGACAGCATAGTGCCATCATCAGAAAGAGGATGGTATTCTATATGAGACAAATTATGACCCCCAGGCAAAACTACCTCTCTTATCATTACTCAAAAGCTTGCTTGTTTTATTTGGGCTAACTTTGTGGGGAACAATTTCTAATTTTGGCAGAAGAAGAGTGGAGGAGAGGCGAGGAGTGAGTTCATAAAATGAGCTTCATGTGCTGCCCAGAACACATTACCCAGTGCCTGTAAATACTGCCCAGCTGAGACTATATGAAATCTGAACCTACTCTTCAAAGCTAATTTGGTAAAAATTAAACTTAAGTGCTCTTCTTTGTCCAGAGAATAGCCGAAGGAGAAGACTTGCAGTGGAACTCTGAATTATTAAGATGAATCAGGACGTCTGTTAGGAGATACTACACTCTGGAAAACTGAGCTCTCATTTTAGGATTTGTCTTAAACCAACAGGTTTGCCCTTTAGATTATATTGGTGAGGGAGTGGACTATGCGTGCATGTTTGCACACCTGTAAATTAATAAAACAGTATGGAAAAGTGTCCGCATCACCTACATGTATGTTTTTTTGTGGCTTGTTTTGTGAATATATGGCCAAGGTATGGGATATTGGAAAGAGCACAGACTTTCAATCTTGGTACTGCCATTTACTGCATGTGAGTCTCTCTGAGCCTTGGTTTCTGCAGGCTGGAAAGGAAAACATTCACAAGCTCCTTGCAGAGCTATGAAGAATAAATGAGATCATTTATACTAGGCAAACAATACCATTTCTAACTTGCAAACAATGTCAGGTTCCTTAATCCACAACAAAAAACCTCCCAGTATCTTCAGTAAGTATATTTTATATAAATGACTGTTCTGTTTTAAATAGGATTATATCACTGAGCCATCCTCAAACCCTTCAAAGATCATAGTCTAATCAAAATGGATCATTTTTACTTACGAGGCCATCACATTTCTGTGATTTTGTATGCATGTGGCAAGTCCCTGGGGCTGTACTCTCAGACTTCTAAAGTTTAATTAAAGAGCTGTTTTTAAAGATGGGAACTATGATACATGCATCTCAGAACTAAATGTCCTCTGATACTCACATTTGGTAACATTTGTTTTCAGATTTTTATTCTTTGCTTAAATTACAGAAGATACTAATATATATTATATAAAGTATCATGGTTCAAGTATCTAGGTTAATTGTAGTCTAAAATTAAAATCTACTGAGGAACCAGTTAGTGATTACTGCTTCTCAACTTCTTTACTTTAAAGAAACAGTTCTAAAAAAGCTCTAATTAGAGTTTATGAAGTTTCAAGAGGTAAGTAGACTGGTAAGGTTAAGAGAAAAAATTCTAACACAACACTCCATCATTTAACTGATAAAAATAATCAGTCCCTACAGAAGAGTCTTCACCATTCTTTGCTTAGAAGATGAGATTCAAAGAAAATATAAAGTATACTGACTGTGTTTATTCTCAGAACCTTTCATAGGAACATATAAATGTCAAATGAATAATGTCAATTTGAGTTACTAAAATAATTTTTAAAAATATTTACTTAGATTCCACATAACCTTAATTTAAGGGAAGTAACAGAAACTCTTTACCTCCCATTGCTGTTTTCTGTCTATTGCAGTCTTTCTCAAGTCTGTCTACACATGGAAATCACATTTAGCCATGTCAACAAACTCTGGCCCACAGGAAATAACTATGCCCCTTCTGGAAAATGTCCTCAAATGAGAGGGCATACTCTTTCTTTCTTCTTTTCCTTTGAGCTGCATGTAATGTGAGAACATGAGGGCCAAACCTGGTGTGACCCAACCTATTGGGTCATGAGGTTGACTTTGGAAGGAGGTCACACTCATCAGATCAGTAAGGCAGAGAGTCTGGGCCCTGGGGCCAGGCTGAGTCACACCAGCCATGGTCCACCCATCTATGGGTTTTTACCTGAGAGAGAAATAAACTTCTGTTCAAAACCGCCATTATTTTTTTCTTTACTCTTGGCAGATACTGGCCCTAAAGTGATACAAAGGTCTTACAAAATTTGTACTCCATCACACTTCTCTGCTATGCTGGTGAAGTTAGCCGATGAATGAGGTTTTACAAGGTTTCTTAATTTCTTCTTCTGTGCTTTTCTCACTTCAGTTTTCCTCTGAGCTAAATCTTACTTGTTCTTTGTTTCTTACCCCAGCCATACATGCTCTCAAAATTCTCCCAAATTTCTATATTCCAGTGGTAATTATTTTCTGTACCCCTTTTATCCCAAGATTTTAACAACCAGTTCAAATAACAATTGAATCCTGGATGACTATCTGTTTTAGACTTCTGATTCTATAGAGCTTTCTATAGTTATATTTTCCTGTATTGATTTAGGCTTTTAGAGAGCAAGGATGTATATTTCTTTAAATTCTCCCAATTACCATGCATATATATTTTATGTGCTTGATAAAACTTGCTTACTAAATGGTAGAAATACCTAAATGTATTTCCATTTTTTTGAACTTATACAACCCTCCCTCCCTTACCAGCATGAATGATTAAGAAACATGTGATCTTTAAATGTGATTAATATACTGATGGCTATATGTATATATATATATATATATATATAATATTTTATACATATATACACACTACAGACACACATACATATGGTCAATGACTGGAGATGAACTGAATTGGAACACCACCCCCTTCAAAAGTTAGTATAACAGTTTAAAAGTTAAAAGCTGTCTAAGAGTGATGTTTTTAAACATTAAATATTCCTATAATAAAATATTATGATGAAAATTTAAAAACCTAGAATTTCTTTTATAAATGATTACTATGAATGTATTACATTGGTGTGGGTCTTCAGTAAATTTGATTTCTCTCTTTACTTAAGAGTAATTGTTTCCCTTTTTAAAGTATTATTTCCAAGAGTACATATAATGTCATCTGCTATAGCATTAGCTCTTTAAAACTTATTCTTATTTATAATTCTTTCTTTTAATAAGTATTTATAAGTCATTTCTGTGTATGAAACATCACATTAAGCACCAGAAAGAAGAGCAAAGGTGTGAATAAAACAAGACCCTTGCCTTTATTTTGAATGTAACTTCTACTTACCTGAAACAGAAGCAGTTGGGAGGCTGAGGAAGAACCTCTACTCAAAGGTTATCTGTTTTGTTTTAAGAAATGATTTTGACAAATAACCCTAGTTAGATGATAGGTACCATACAAGACAGAACACAGCAGCTGTAAGTGTGCTCACACATACTCACACACAAATGCAGACAGACAGACACTCGACTATCAATTTACAAAAATAACTTAGTGCCTCACAAGATATAACCACACAAATCTGTTTATTTAATAGACTTTGATTAGTTCTCTCAACAGGAGACAGAATTATCTAATATAAAATACAATGCAATTTTTGCAAAGTTGCAAATCTGTAAAAAGTACAAAAGGAAAAACCTTCCTGTTAGTCAATTCCTTGACATTTCTATGCAATAAAAAGCATATAGGAATCAATGAAAAATAGGAATATATAACATCTCCCAAAGTATATGTATTAAAATTTATTGTTAAAGACTAGGGATTTATTTAAAACAATAATATTCACCACTTTTATTTTGCTAAAATAGTGTTAATTCATTACTGAGCAGCTAAAAGGAATCATGCAGACTTACTTCGATACTGAAGTACCCTCTGTCAACATAGTCCCCTAAGAAGAGGTAGCGAGTGTTGGCAGGAGATCCCCCCACTTCAAAGAGTTTCATCAAGTCAAAGAATTGTCCATGGATGTCCCCACAAACTGAAAGAAACAAAGAAATTTCATTTTATGGTTATATTATGTTCCAATTCTGAATTAGATAATAAAATTACAAAATTTTAGAGCCAGAAGGAATTCAGAGGCCATCTTAGCCACAACATTCTTTTGCAAAACAGGAAAGTAAGACAGTTTCCAAAGTTAATCTGTGGTAAACCTCGCTTTTGCGTCCAGGTCTCTACCACTTCACAGATTAAATAAAAAAATAACAACAACAACAACAACAATAATAATAATAGCTATTACTGTTGTGTGTTTAACAATTCTGCACCAGACACTATGCTGAGAGTTTTATACACATTTTGCAATTTATACTAACAATGTCATGGGATAGGTTTTCCTTTTGCAGATGAGTCAAAGAGAGTCAAACAATTTGGCATAACCTATATACTGATACCTAAATATATATCTATTACATGTTATTGCCCCCTGAAGAAAGGGAAATGTTGATATGCATTATAAAAATTGTATTTAATTGACTCTAAAATGTCATCAATTATAAAACACATCATTATTTTAGGTACCATTGAGAAAGAAAAAAAACAATTAAATTTAAATTGATATCATAAATGAGCATTTTTATAAGATGAACCATAGTATCAGATGTCAAACTTTTTTCAAATTTTGAAATGAAATCCTGTAAAACAGTATAAAAAAATTGCTGGGAATTGCAATTTCTTAACTTTCTCACCTTCTCTTTCAAACAAAAACTCTTAAAAGCTACGTAGTCTCTCATTTTAAAAACCACTTATTCAGTACTTGCTATTTCATGTTACTTTCAAATCTCTTTTTAGCTTACAATAACTTTGTGATAAGAGAGAATCTCAATGATTTATCAATACAAGATCAGCACAATTAGTGGATCTTGGCTTGATGATATAAAACAGCAGGGAGCAACTGCTGTAAAGTTGGCATGGGAAACAAGATAGCCTGAAATTCAGTTACTAGTAGGATGGCCACATTATCACTGACTTTACCTTACACCAGCCACGCAATTAAATCATGCTTTTACAGTAAGGGCCAGTTATGATAATCTTCAGCAAAGAAAAGCAACTTGCATATACAATCATAAAAAACACTCAAAGCCCAATGAAAGAAAACAGTAGCTCAAATAAAATATACCTAAATAATTGAGATATTTTGACTAAGGTTTAAGGATTTCCCAGATCAGTTTAAGTGAAAACTATGTATCTTTTTTTTTCAAAGTCATTTTTATATCTATTTGGTCTCCATCCTATTGCTTTTCTTATTCAGTAGATGCCAGTCTTGTCTGTCTCAAATAGGCCACATTTCTTTCTTGTACACCCACAGGCTGACCCTTTTCCATCCAGTAAGTCTCAGCTATTTGTCAGTATTCGTCTTTCCAAAAGCATTCTTCTTTCCATTGACTTGTTTTACTTTCTTCATAGTACTTATTACTCTCAGGAATAATCCTGCTGATTAATTTGCATGTCTGTTTCTTCCCTGGTTCTTCCCACTGGACTATAAGCTGTATAAGAACAATAACCTGTGAGAAGCTGTCAGCTCTTGTTCACTGTAACCCGGACATGGAGAACAGTGCCTGCCATCCAGTGGGCGCATGAGAAATGTGCTACCCTAGAATTCTTCACTGGGCCTGTGCTGGGCTGAATTTGGAAACCCATTCATTACAGAAGCCAAGCTTCTGAGGGGCCCCTCAGACCGACAGAGATGGACAACAGTGGGAGTTTGCTCTGGTGGAAGCTGAAGGTCCTTAACTTGTCTGAGATGGTGCTTGTTTGAAGCCTTTTAAGTCACAGCTTTCAAAATAGTGTGTGGCAAGACTAGGGGAGAATGAGGGACCTCCATGCAGGTTATGATGGTTTCTTTACCTGGTTCTGCACCAGAAACACTTGGGGAGCTTTTGAAACTACAGATTCCTGGGTCCCGAATCAGAAATTCAAGAGACGCAGACTGATAACAAGCTCTCCCGTGGTTCTTATCTAGCCAGTAAGATGAAAGACCAATGCTTTCCAGCCTCTGTCTCAGCAGACTGAGCCTTCATTCTGCATGTTTGTGTGGGTCCCCTCACAGTATGCAGAGGTGGGAGAGGCACACGTTGGAAAGGCAATGTTATTCAATGCTAATCCCAGGTTGGTGTGAGATCGGAAATTCTTATTACCCGAAAGGATGATACTGAAGTGATTGTTTGATGGAGGCTACGACAGAGGGACCAATCTAAGACAAGTGATAACAAAGAGCACACTTATTCATGCATTTGAATGTGGCTATTGCTCAGGCCTTGTGCATTTCAGCTTTCAGATAAAGAATGCATCCCAAAGTCCTAATATTTGGGAACATTCACAATTTTGATTTCAAAAATCAAGAAGACAGTCACCAACATACTGAAGTATTCATGCTTCAGTACGCAAAAGGATGGAGGGCGGGGTCAGGACATCACACAGAGGGAAGGGTACCATGTCACGTTAAGTGAAAAGTACAGTGCAGTAACTTTTGATCTATGCAGTGCCATAGGCCCCACCTTCCAGCCTCTTGTGGGTACCTAGAGCATTAAGATAAACAAAGTCCAACAAATTTCAGCTAATGAGGCAAATCATCTGCTTGGTTGCTCACAGCCTCTGACTCCCTATGAGGCCAGGTCCTTTCATCTTCAGCGTCATTGGTTTTAATAGCGCTTCTAGAACAAACAGGCTTTGACAAGTTCTATTATACCTTCAAGGCAAGCTCATTCTTCACCAAATACTCCTGCTTCCCATATTCCCCCAGCTTCCCATTATTTCCTTCTCATTTCCAATGGGACACTGCTGGCAGGCAGGAACTTGACTAGGAGCCAGCTTTGAAAGCCCTACTATATTGAAAAAGCACCAAAAATATAGGAACACAGGACATGTAATGAAAGCACTCCTAATCTCTATGAAATTATCCATCCATCTGAATGAACGTTCAAAAATACATATTATCACTTCAATAGATTATGACCAGACTTGTACATATTTCCATGAGAAATGTATAGTTATGGTAGTTAATGAAATGGACACATCAATGAAAAGAAACATACAAGTTTTTTCTGGACCACTAGTACCCTAATCCATTCCCAATGTGCTACATCATGATGGTTATTTTTCCTGTGAGATGCAGTAAGTCCTCCACCTGTTTTTGGACAAGTAAGAACTACCAGGAACACTGAGCAGTAGAATTGAGTTATTGAGAAGGCTGTCTTTACCTTCTTCTTGGTTCTTTTTCTAAGTCGGTTATGAAGAAGTTTTGAATGTGGCTGTTCTAACATCCTCAGTACAACCAAACAAGAGGCACTAACATCCTGCGATGCTTACATGTGTTTTTTTTTTTTTTTACTTTTCTCTCATCTACTATCAGAAAATACATAAATTATGCCTAAATAAACAACTAACAAGTAATACCAAAGCAAACAGTCACTTTTGAGTAATTACCTTTTAATACTATTTCCATCCCCCAGTGACTCTTAGCCCACAGTAAATCAAAGTTTATTGAAAATGATCCTCGCATGAATGGTCTCAATAATTTTTGACCTAAGTCTTCTGAAGAAAAACATGGAATTTTGAAGGGGGAAACAAAATAACATACAGAAAAGATCTGTCTTTGTTTCTTGGGAAAGGAAATAGCTTTTATTTCTCATATCATTGCTAGAGAGCTAGTTATTAAACTTTGAAATCACAAACTTAGGAGGTTAATGTACATGTAAACATAAATATAAATGTGTGTGTGTGTGTGTGTGTGTGTGTATAAAGTCACCATAAAGGAGGAATTATTTGGAGATTAGTGGTCAGTGCACCAGTTAGGAAGTCATTAAACAAGTTCAAGACATTTCTCACTGTAGATTACAGCAAAGTAGTGCTAAAGAGAAACAGCAATAAACAGCTGGGGCAGGAACAAGAGGCTCTTTGTAGTTAGCTGAGAAAGCTCTTGGGATCTACAAACTGGACAATGAATCAGTCACAGGGCAAGTCTAGAAGTCCCTAGAACTGGCACACTGCTGAGGAGAAGATAATGGCGAGCATATTGAGGACAAATGGCCTCTTGACAAATAAGCTCAGAGTATGGAGGACAAGCTGGAAAGATAACTAAAATGAAGACCAAGCCTATGCTTTGCATCTCCTGACTAAGAGAAATGCCGCTTTCTGTCGAAAAGGGATAGCTGCTCAAAACAACTACGCATATATGATATATGTAATGAAAAGTGCATGCCTAAATTAATGATTCTGCAAGAAAGTATACCCACATTGTAATTTAACTATTTTTCAAAGAATTCTAGTGTTTCTAAATTCACATTGGCAACTAAATTGCTATCTTGGGAAAATGTAAAAAGTAGACCATACTGAACATATGAGGATGAAGTCCCAGTATACTTGCTACACAACTGAGAATTTGTAAAGAACTCTGCTACAGATTCCATCCTGGGTGGGAGATGCACTGACAAATGTAAGATAAAATAAAATACATACTTTCTCATAAAAATACTTTGAAAAGCTTTGACTTCATGCTCTGATCCACACATTTGGCCCTGTTTACTTGCCTATATCCAAGGAAATCCTTCAAGGAACATCAGTAGGTCAACTTTTTACTGACATTAAGCAAAAATTTTATAATGTCATAGAATTCTATGTTAAAGAATGCCTATAGAAATTAAGATGTCTAGAGACAGAGGAGTTTTTAAAAACAAACAACAAAAACAGTCAAATAATACAGTGCAGGTTAAAAGAGATTTTTCATGGACTGGCATTTCAAAATGGCATCAATATTATGATTAGAAGTCAAGTGTTTTTAATTCTTGATTCCTTGTTTACTTTTCTATAAAGATCTTTTAGTTCCTCTAAAATACTGGCTTTTATCATCTTGGAAGATTGTATAAAGTAGAATAACTTCTTCTACAAGTTTTTCCAGTTCTCACAAAACTTAACAGGCTGTTATTTTTCTTTTAGAGAAGACATTACTGAGTTGCTGAACAATTTTCACCGTTAGAAGTCCAC